GATGAGGAAACTGAGGCCCATGGAGGTTAAATGACTTGCTTAGGGTCTCTCAGGTCATGAGCACCAGAGGCGAGATTTGAACCCCGGTCCTCTGACTTCAGAACAAGGACTCTTTCCCCTGTGCCACAGAGGTTGTAGCAGTGATTTGTGGTTAATTATGGAGTGGACAAGGCAACCTCCATGGTCATGCAGAATCCTTAAGATCCTATGGACATTAGCCTCCAGGGTGGCTGCCTGAATCTTAGGCTAATTTGTTAGTTTACATTTTTTGATGAAGAATTGTCTATGACCTTAAAAGTATGAAGGGTGAAGCCTCTGACGTGTGTGTGAGTTGGGCGTATCTATTTAGAGCAGAAAGGGAACTCAGAATCAACAACAAGCATTTATTAAGCACTTACAGTATTAGCTTACCCAATGTGGCTCCCTAGTTTTCAGCTGAAGTAACTGAGGCCAGAAAAGTTCAGTGAGTTGCCTAAAGTTACACAGGAAGGCCAATGTTCGAACTCAGGTTGCCTGACCCAAAACCTGGAGCTGTTTCCATCCCCACAAGGTATGCTTCAGGAACATTTGTATGGTGTATTTGAGGCTGTGACTAGCTTTTCCAGGTGGGTTAGTAAGAAGAGCCCCAGATTTAGAGTCTGAGGACCTGGGTTCAAAGCTTGGCTCCTCTGCACATATCCTTGAACAGTCATTCCATTCCTTTCTCTCCCCCCCTCCACACCGGCCCCTCCCCACCCCCGCCAATTTCCTCTTAGTGAAATGAAAGGATTGGATTAGATCATTTCTAAAGTCCATCCTAGCCCTAAATTCTCTGATTAATGAATAGCTACTGTCCTCACTTGCATCATTTCCCGACCTTTAGTTGGATTCTGTGTTTTTCAATCTCCGTGGGAAAACCACTTGAAACTGGAAGTTCCTAGGAGCAGCGATTAATGTTGTCTGTGCCCCCAACACCTGCTCTGTCCCTGCTCCATTACCATCAAATATGGATCGTGCTTCAGCTTGGAGGCTTCATTTAGTGCTGTAAGAAAAATACCAAAGGTTGTCTCCCCTCTCCCTCCAGATAATGCTTAATCTCTGTAATTTACCCACAGATCACAAAGTTCTGAGTGGCCAAGCAGGAATCACTTACAGTGTTGTGAAGGAAGGTTTTGGGAGGCCCAGGCCAAATGGTGTGAGAGCCAGGCTCAGACACTTCCTATTGAAAGACCCTGGGCAGGTCACATTACTTCTCTGAGCTTCCATTTCCTCATCTGAAAAGCAAGGGGATTGGACTGGATGACCGCTCAAGTCCTTTCCAAACCTATGCTCTTGAGCAGCAATAGATACTAAAATAAGCCACCTTCATAAAGGGTCCGTGGAGTCATCAGAAGGCTATGCTCACCCACAGAAAGCATGCTTTCTTTACCCATGGTGCTGAGACCACACAGAACGAATTTTATCAGATGAGTGTGTTCAGGAGAAGTGTGTTTGGCCATAACCTTGTGATGGAGCTTTCTTGAAAAAGACCTTGTCCATCTTGACTGGGTTTCATCCATCCATTCATGCCCATTCAAAGAGCTCATTTTCTCCTGCCCCCGAAACACTTGGTCATCTTTTCGGGTAAGGCCTCCATATCTAAAGCAATTCTCTCCTCCCCATCTGTCTCTAAGACGTAGCATGTCCAGTCTGGTCAAGCTCATTTGCCAAGAGCTCTGGTAACTTGGGCTCTTGCTAACACTTATAATTGTTCCATATTTGCACTTCTGTGATTTGGATAGCATACAGAATGGACCCAGAGATTCTTATCTTCTTTGGAGGGGGAGCTTGTGAACGTTTCACAACATTAATGGCTGAAGCCAGGATTATTTCCATTAATTGCATTCCAAGAAGCCCCCTCATTTTCACTGGCTTATCCCCTTTTCTTCCCCACCTCCCCAGGGGTGTATTAGAAATCGTTTTGTAAAGGGCCAGGTTGCCTGTTACAGCCTAATTCCCACCATGGGGAGTCTCCCTGACTTGTTGAAGACTGCCTGCAATTCCTGTTAATTTTCCTGTGCAGAAAAATAGAGAAAAGTCTGTGAACTTTCAATATCTGTGTGTCAGAATTCTAGATACGGATGTAATGATATGTCATGTCGTTTGGGGGGCTTCCTTCCTAATAAGTAGTTCTTTTAATTTTCCTGTTTTAACCCATTTGGGGCATGCTAACTGATGAAGTCTAATTCTGATTTTGGTAGATAACTAGTAATAATAAAGAATTGAGACACCCCACATCTAATCACAGTAGTTAAGATTCATTGCCTATTCCCTCATAAAATAGATTTTAGTTTTGGAAATGAAGGCAAATGAGGAAATTCTCTTGTTCCTATTAAGGGTACTTTCCAGTGTTGGAAATTTTTTGAAAGATTGTTCACTATTCTAAGAAAGACATCGCTTGACCCTCCTGGGTCTAAAGCCCCCAGATTTTTTTTCAACGGAGCAGCTGTCTAGCTCTGGGTTAACTTCTTGATCCCTATTAAATGTGGCCGTATTAGATTCAGCCCAGAGCTAAGCTTTGTCTTCAGCTTTTGCCCCAGGAGCCTTTTGTGTCTAGGGCAATTGGACCCACTTATAGGGTCAGTGGAGAAGAGTAAGAAGGCCCTTAGAGTTAAGACTTCTTACGTTGGTTGTTCCATCCCCTAAGACGACTTCTGTTATCTAAGAGCTTCTGATTTTCAAGTGCGTGCTTTTTGCTAGGCTTTGGAGACTTGGGGCATTGAAGGATGGGTCTTACACATAAAAATTGTTTATCCTGAATCCATTAAAGGGGGCCACCCCAGTTTGGATGGAAGCTCAAGACTGTGTTCTAGGTATTCAGATACCTAACCAGGAAGGGCTTAAGAGGTCCTTGCAAAGTTTGAAATCTGTCCTGTGGAAGAAACATAGGTCCTGTGGCCAATCCTAGGTTTCTACCAGACTGTTCCACCTACTAAATCCCCAATAGAAGGGTTAGAGCTGATAGAGAAGCATGATGTGTAATAGAGAAGAAAAAGAAATTAGCTATGGAAGGGAGGGGAAAGTGAGTCATTTCCTAGCCTCCAAAGGTTCCCCAGTTTTCAGTGTTATGCATGTGGAAGGAGGAGGCATGGGGTGATGAAGGTAATAAGACAAGTGGGGTAGCTTTCTCAGCTCCCTTTTACGTGCTCTCTTTCTTCGTTAGAATGTAAGCTCCTTGAGGCCAGGGACTGTCTTTCTTTTGGCTTGTATTTGTATCCCCAGCACTTAGCATGCTGGTACCTGGTGCCTGGTACATGGTAAGGTTGTTGACTGACTAACCTTGGGTATGTCAGGTTCCTTTTCTGGGGGATTGGACAGGTATACCAGTAACACCTCAGCAAACCACTGAGAATGGAATGACTCCCTCCTCAGAGTATGTGTTGGCCTCATCGTGGTGCGACTTTTAGTAAAAAGAAGGTGGGGAGAGGAAGACCCATGTTACCTAGCACACATTCTGATGTGTTGATGACACCAAGACCAGGCGTCACTTGCCTTGCCAGAACTCACAGGACTTGTTCTGGTCTGTTTTTCCTCATCTTCTCTCATAGTTGGCATTCACAGGAAAATGGTAATGGGCAGCAGTTGGTCTGATGTTCATAGAATCAAAACTAGAAGGAAATTAGTGATAGGAGGCAGTGTTGCCCAGTGGAAAGAACACTTTGCTGATGAGGAAACTGAGGTCCAGAGAAGAGAGGTGACTTCTCTAAGGGCAGCAGAGCCAGGGACTAGAAGCAGGTCTGCCAGTCAAGGGCCCCTTCACACACCAGCCAACTCCCCAGTTTGCCTTGGATGCCTCCCCCTTGCCCACACTTCCATTCATGCATGAAGCTAGTCCACTGAAGGTGGGCTTTGTGTGAAAGTTGTTGTGCCAACCTAAATAACTTGGGCTGTGGGCATGGTGGGGCAGCCAGCTCATTCTTCTGACCCAGAGAATTGGGTGGTTCCGGTCAAAGCACAGCCCTCGGGTGCTGATTGGGGAAATGGGCTCTTCCAAACATAGTTTTTGAATGACCAAAATGCTCCGCAAAATGCTTTCCAGAAGAATGTGGCCAATGGGGTTGGGGTTGGGGCTGGGGCAAGCCCGTGGCCCCAGAAAGGAAAGCTGGCTGCTGTCTGGGTCTTTAGTCCCAGGAGTCAGAGAAGGAGGGCAAAGATCAGAAAAGGAAGGAGGTGAGACCTGAAGCTGTGACTAGCTGTGACCCAAGGCATGCTTGAAGCTGCTGCCCTTTTAGCTAATACATCAATTACTGTTTCTTTGCTGTGTATTTGTCACGAACCCTTCTGGGTTTAATACATTCAGGGACAAAAAGCCGTTGGCCTGAGATCTGAGGTAGCCTGCACACCTTGCCGTTTTGGTCAGTGAGGGTCTCCTAGGGACCGATGCTCCTGGGCATTTACAGAATGAAGGCCGAGGGAGAGCCCTGGCCCGGACCCTCGCTCCTGTTTGTCCTGCACCCCTGCACCTCCATCCCCAACTCTGTAGGGAGGACTGTTCCTCATTACCAGGGAATTTGAGTCATTCCCCTACTTGTGTGATTGGGATACCGAAACATTTCTGTATGCGAGGGGCTGATTGAATCCAAGTGTCAGGGCTGCCTCTCGGGCTTGGAGGGAATGCCGAGCTACAGCTGGGAGACCTGGTTTTAGTTACTACACAAAGGCACTGGCAAGAGCCATGACCCCCTCCAAGTACCCAGAATTCCAGAGGAGGGTCTGCTGCCAACTCTTCCCAGATCAGGGTTTCCTGGTTCATTCTGAGGGCCCCCCCACATCTGTCTTTGGTCAGTACCGGCTTCTCCGTCACCCCAGGCGGGCATCCCTCATGTCCCCGGTGCTGCCCAGCAGCTGCAGCGAGACGCACCTGCACCCCCACCCCACCCCCCAGTCACAGGCTCCCAGTTCAACAGAGTCAGCTGAGCAGTGGTGCGCGGGGAGGACAAGGCTGGTCTGAGGCATCACCTCCTGTTTCTTCTTCCTTCTAGAATGTTTCACAGCAAACGGAGTCGACTACAGAGGCAGGCAGAACTGGACGGCACCGCACGGAGGGAAGGCCTGCCTCTTCTGGAACGAGACCTTCCAGCACCCCTACAACACACTGAAGTACCCTCATGGAGAGGGGGGCCTGGGGGACCACAACTACTGCAGGTGAGGGGCCAGGGCCAGGGAGCAGCCGCTTGGTGCTGTGAGAAGAGCGTGGGGGGTGGAGGTGTGGAACCTGCGTTCAAATCCTGGCTCTGCCCCCTTCTCCCCGGGTGGCTGTGGGCAAGGCCTTCCTTCTGGACCTCCGTTCCAGCTCTGTGACTCGAGGGGCTCATCCTAACAGAGCCCTGAGGTCCCTGCCGTCTCTCAGTCTGTGACCCTTGGGAGTCTGTGATCACGAGGACCCGTTTTGTCCATCCTCCTTGCCATCCAACTTGGGCTCCTGATAGACTGGCTTCGGCTGTGGCTTCGCCAAACCAGATGTGTGCAGGCGGTGGGGAGAACGCTGGACCCTGAGTCATACAGGCCTAGGTTCAGATCCTGCTTCTGACATCATGAGTATGGCAAGTCACCGACCCCTCTGGGTTTTAGCTCCCTTGTCCATCTGGGAAATGGGAGCATGAAACCTCTAGTAGCTGAGCCCTCGGGCTATTGTGTCACTTTCAAATGAGAGAGCAGGGATGGGGTCCTATGGACACCCATGCCGTGATTTCTGGGCCCCAGGCTGCTCAGGACAGCCTGGGGGCAGCTGTCGCTCTTAATCAGACTGGCTGTGTTTGCCCATTGGCTGGGCGGGTTCTCGGCCCGCGGGGGCTGAAGAGGCCGAGGGCTTTGGGCCACAGCTGTGTGCACTCACCCTGCACTTGAGGTACTAGGCACAAGACCGTGGTAACTTGATTCATGGCTCAGGAATTTATAGCATTTAATTATTAGAACAGGTGCAAAAGCAACACTTCCCGGGCTGTTAGAAGAGGGAAGCAGTGGCTTCTGGGGGTGTCCCCTGAACCGCCCCACCCCACCCCGTTTACCCAGCTTGGCCCCTCAGCCCCAGACTGGCCCCCATTTCCCTGCTAGGCTCCTGTCGTGGCCCTGGGCACACAGGGCAGGCGTGGGCCTTGCCCTTTCCCCCTGCCTGGTCCTCACTGTCCTGTCTCCTGCAGTCCCCCAGGGTTGCCTGAATGTCAATGATCCAGACCTGTGGCAGGCCTTAGAGGCCTAGGCCAACACCCTAGCTTCGAATAGCGGGGGACTATCAGGCAGGGTCTGAATCCAGGTCCTCAACCCCAGTTTTCTGTTTTGCTTGCTGGAGAATGGCTTGCTAACCAGACGGGTCTGCCCCAGTTTTCTGCTTTCATCTGCCTGGAAAGTAACTCTGAATATCCATCAAGACTGTTCTTTTTACCTGATGCTTCTGAGCCAGTAGTGAGTGGTGAGGAGCGAGGCTGAGACCCATTAATCAGTAACGGTTATGCAGAATGCAGTGAGACCACCTGGGCAAGGGACCAGCCAGCCCCAGCACCTCCCAGCCGGCCAGGCCCCAGCAGCGAGGGCCCCCAGCCCCCCTCGCCGCTGCCCTGCCCCTCACCCCAGCCCCAGGTGCGGGGAAGACTGACCGCACCAGACCTGAATTACAAGTTCCTACTTCAAACAAGGGGGAGCCGCCCACAGCTTCCTCCCTCAGTGGAGGGAGTCAGATGCCCTTGGTTCTTGGAGGTGAAGCCGCTCTGATGGCGTGCCTGGTGCCTGGTGCCCAGGACTTCAGGATGAGGGCTTGTCTCCGAGGGCTTCGCTAAAGAGGGCTGCACTAAAGGACGCAGCTGAGCAAAGCCCTTGGCTGAAAGGGGTGGAACCGATGGTGGCTCCAGCTGGCATTTCAGGGAGGCTCTGTACCTCCTGGCCGCTTGGATTTCTCTGCCAGAGACACCCAACCCCCTGTTTATCTTAGGCACCGGCTTGGACCTGTTCAGTTGGAGGTGTCTGAGAGATGGAGAATGCTCCTTGAGGTCTCAGTATCAGAGGGAGGAGCAGGGCTGGCCGGGGCCCCTGCCTTTGGGCCCAGGAATCAAGGGCCCCATTGTACTCTGGGAAGGCTTATCTTGCAGCCGGAGTCAGGCACACAATAGGCTTATCCCCCTCGGCCCGATAGGGGCTGCTCTGAGGCTGGAGGCACCAGGCCCCAGGGCCACGGTGCCCATTTCCGGCCCCACTGGAGGGTCAGCTTTCCAGTGTCCTGGGTCTGGATAAAAGAACACGGAGAGGAACCAGGGAAGGGAGAGCTTCCAGTGCCCCTACACCACCTGCCAGTTCTCAGCATACTGTCACATTCCTCTCCGTAGTTTCTGGTGACTTTGAAGGAAGCATAAAAATGAAACAAAACTTTTACTGGAAAGAAATCAGAGTCGAGATCGTGTAGTCAGCCTGAGAATTTGGCCTTGTGGCTGCTTTCAGGTGGAGGTCTGGCCTGAATGCCCCTGCTGTGTGGCCCATGAAACCCCAGCGGACCTACCCTCAGCATGGGTCACCAAGGCCGCTGTCCTGTGGCATTCCCCCTTTTCCTGATTGATTTGGCATCACCGAGTGATAAAACTTTAGAGCTGGAAAGAACCTCAGAGGCGTCCCATCCAACCTTTCCCCTTCCCAGGTGACGACGGGAAATTCGTTCTCTTTCTCCCAAGGCATCCCGTTTCACTTTGGGACATCTCTGGCTATATGGGGCTCGTAAGGCCCTAGCTGCAGATCTGGGAGGGGCCTTGGAGGCCACTGAGGCCAAGTCCGCCGTGTCACAGGGGAGGATGCTGAGGCCCAGGGTGTCTCGGTCACTCGCCCATCAGTCCCAAGAAGCAAGGCAGAGTGTGCTTAGTCCTTCTTCCGCGTCTTCTAACAGAGTGACTTTGGCCTCCCTCCACGCCCTGTCCCTTCCTCTCCAGGCTGAGGGTTCCTGGTTCTTCAGCCATTGCTAGTGTGACGGCATTGCCTCAGCTCTTCTCCCCTGTTACCCTTCTGAGCACACTCCCGGTTGTCAGCGACCTTCCTAAAGTGTGGTTCCCAGAACTGAACACAGTACCCTGGCTGTGGTCTGCTCGGGGCAGAGGACAGCCCTTGTTCTGGGATGGCCCCCTCTAAGTGCAGGCTGCAGTACCAGCTAGACCACAATAGTCACCTCCCGAAGGCTAGCTCATGACTCTGGAATTGTGCAGAGATGTTCCCTTCCCCCTTTCCCAGCTTCCTCCAAAACAGCCCGCCATGGGCGTAGATGCCATGGCTCCTGTGCCAGTGGGGGCCTGCAGCAAGGGGGGGTGTCCAGAATAAGGAGGCCAAAGGAGCGAAGCCAGAAATATCACTGACAAGGCCTGAAATGGGATTCTGTGTCTTCTTCCCCAACAGGAACCCTGACGGAGATGTAAGTCCCTGGTGCTACGTAGCCGAGCATGAGGATGGCGTCTACTGGAAATACTGTGAGATCCCAGCTTGTCAGAGTAAGCCAATGGTGGGGTAGGGGACAGGGGTGCTGCATGCTGGACATCATGAGCTTGGGGCCAGACTCCTGGCTCTGGTGATGGATGAGAAGGCACCTGGTCCCCGGGGTGGGGGTTCTCTTCAAAACCCCCAAGATTTGCACAGTTCCCACCAAGGCCTGTTCCAGTGTTGACCATCTTCATAACACACTCGACCTGTGTCTCAGCTGTTGAGTTTCTTTTCTTTGTCCTTTTTGGGAACAGAAAGCAGCTGTTGGATCAGTAACTGGGGGGCTTGTGCTTTCAGGGTGTGGGCATTCCCTCCACCAGCTCAGATCACAGCTCACACTCTCCCCCTCAGCATCTCACTAGATGGTCTGCAAAGGTGCTCTGGGCCCAAAGTCATCTGCTCCAGGCAGGCCTGGGGCAGCTGGGAGAGAGGGATGGAGTCCTAGGCTTCCTTCGAGTCAGGAGGCATGAGCTCAAGCCCCTCCCCACACATGGCAATGGGGCCATCATGGGCAAGTGGCCTCATCTCTGTGAATTTAGTTTTCTCATCCACAAAATGGGCTGATAATGCTTGTACTCCTTACTTCACAAGGTGGTTAAAGGTGGACCCTGAAACTTACCTCATTTAGCCATATCTGGGGGAGGTGTTAGCCCTGCTTCCTCTCCCCGCACCCAGTAGCCTAATAAATTACAGTGATGACCAAGTCAGGGGAGAGGCAGTGGAAAGATCTCTGGCCTGGAAGCCAAAGAAGTGGGTCCCAGTACCCCCTCCGGGGGCCCTTGGGCAGCTCTGCCTGCGGGCCCTCAGGTTCTCTATCTGCAGAATGGGAGGACTGGCCTGCATGTCTTCTGAGGTCCCTTATAGTCACACTGCTGAGGACTCAGTACTCTCATGGGGCTCTGACCAGCCTAGGGCCTGGGGAGCCAGACTGTCTCCAATGCCTCCCAGAAGTCAGAGTTGTTTGCATTTGCCGGTGGTTGGAAAATTGTCCAGAGAGTGAGAAGCCAGCCCCAAACTTGCTGAAATTCCAGGCCTGTTTTCTAATTTTTTCATCTCACCTTTGGAAAAACTTGAGTTCCTTTCCTGTTACTTAGCCCAAAATCATCAGTTTGGAATTATTTACTGCCTTGGATTTCCTTGGACAAATGAGCTTTCCCCTCTGTGCCTGTTTGCACATCTGTAAAAATAAAACATTGAAAAATTAGTGTCTTGGGGGTCCGTCCCAGCTCAAGGACCCTGGGTTCTGTGACTTCTTGTCTCCTGGGCTTTGTGCATCTCTGACTCTGGCGGGGAAGATGGGCGCCTCCATCCACTCCCTCTGAGAGCCCCCAAAGAACCACAGGCTTCATCCCAAGTGATGGGGAACGCTACACTCTTAGCACTGGAAGGAGCCAATGGAATCCTCCGGGCCGGCCTCTGGTGCCCTGACTCATGACCTCAGCCCAAGCGTCTCGTGGTGACCTGCTCTTCCATGATGCCCGTTTGGACTGGTTCACTTAGCTGTGCGCTTGCTTCTGCTGTCCCCATTCTCCTAGTCACCTGCCCGCAGTATGCAGAGGCCGGGTCCCATGTACAGGGCATTGGGGGTGGGGGAGGGACAAAGTCTCTGACCAGGTCTTCAGAATCGCCCTTCCTGCTCTGGCTGCTCCCTGAGCTTCTCCCCTGGTCTGATTGCTCTTTCGTGCCCACCGGTGTCCAAGACCACCCCCTTCCCCACCGCTGGAGCCTGGCCGAGTTCCTCTTCCCACCTGTGCATCATCATTCATTCACAAAGCCGAGAACACTGTCAGGGAGGAGCCCTTTTCCTCAGGCGCTCAGTCAAGTTTAAAAATGGAAAACATATCTCTTGGCTCTCATCGTTTCTGGAGGAATGAGAAGAGAACAGATTGTCCTCGGTCCATTTGTTCTGCACAAAGATAGCCTTTTAGTGCTGGCTGGAGTCTGAGCTGGGGAAGAGGGGATCAGCATCTGGAGTCTCGTCTGCCCCTCCCAGGCGGGCACGGCCCTGTGGAGCCTGGGCTCTGGGGGAAGGAGCTGCAGCAGTGTGGGCCAGGCTGCCCAGATTGTGCCCTTCCGGTTCTGAATGCCAATGTGATGGGGCTCCATCGTCCTGAGGAGAAAAGCTCAGTGGCATTTGGGCGCTTTCCCATTTTCAGGAGCCCTCACAAAGCCCCACCTTGTAACCCTGAAGGAGTTTGTGGGTGGAATTTGCCCTCATTTGCACAGAAGAGTGTGTTTCCTTGGAGGTTTGGGGGTGCTTAGCTGTTGAAAAGACCTCTTCCTTCAGGCTGAGACCCACAGGGAAAGCCAGCAGCCTCCCCATTCTGCTCTGGGAAGGACATCTTAGTGTCTGATGAGCACAGTGGAGACCCTCTCTGGTGCCTCTGCTCTGGTCAGAGACCTTGCTAATTGCCCAGAGCACCCGATATAGCCCCAGCCTGACTATTTTAGGCCCAGTTTGCCCTATTTATGGACAAGGAGTCATAATTTTCCTGAATAACACTCCTCCTCTGCCTGAAGCCCGTCTTTCATTAAACTGATCATATGGGGAAATGCCTTGGCTATGATCAGATCTCTGGAAAGTTCCTGTCTGCCCAGAGCGGACCCAGCAGGAATTGGGGACAGTAATGTTTATGGACAAAGGCAAGTGGCTGAACAGGGTCGGGGGGGGGTCCCTTCTCTACAGCTTATGAGGGAGGGTGCTGACAAACAGGTGGGGAGGCCAAACTGTATGTGCTTGTGACTTGCCGAGAATAATCTGCCCTTCCCGCCAAAAGAAAAACCCAGAGGAAGTTGGGCCAGCCTCCCCAAATCCACTCGCCAGCACATTTCTCGGCGGCCTTCTTGTGGCCAGAGGGATGATGATGTATTTCGATATCCAAGACTCACGGACGGCAGACCACCGACCTCACCACCTCTTCCTCCAGTGGGGTCTTTGAGTCAAGGGGATTTGATGGTGGAGGGGGTCAGTCACATGACTTCCTGTCCACTGACATGAAACCTGGCTTGTCTGCACATCCCGTCCACCCTGGCAGGCCCTCCGCCCTCGCCACTGACTATTGAGAGAGAGCAGACCAGGAATGGGCGCACTTTCTGCTCACCATTTCCCTTTGTGAGCGAGGTCCCCAGAAAGTCTTCTCATAGCTGAATGAACACCCTAGAAGTGGTCTTTATGAGAGTTTTCATCCCAAAGGGTGCCATTTCATCAATCAACCATCTGCTAGCTTTAATTAATTGCCTGCTTCTCCCCAGCAGCATGCTAAGTGTCTTGGGATACCAAGACAGCACCCATCTCATCTACACGAGTCCTTCTCATCATCATAGGATCGGAAATAAGAATATGCCAGGTCTAGCTCTGTAATAATCAGCATGGTTTATGCTTATCCAGCTCTTTATAAAGTGCTTACTATAATTCCTCTGTCTCTCCATGTCCCACCTGTGTGCTTTTGCACGGGCTGTGCCCTGTGCGCGGAGTGCCTGCCCTCTTCACCTCAGGCTCTGAGAATCAGTCCCTGATTCCCTTCAAGCTTTAGCTCAAAGGCCATCAGGCCTACCCTGATCCTCCTCTCAGTGATCTCCCCTCAAACTCTTATGGAATTGAGGGTCAGGATCACCTTACTTTATGTGTGCCACCAGCACCCACATAAAGTACTTGTTTAATAAATGCTTGTTGATCACTCGGTTCTAAATTTGCAGGTTGGCCCAAACTACGGTCAATTTGCTTTTTAAATGCCACTTGCACAGTGGTTTTTTTAAATTCAATTTTATTTCATGTTCGGGCCCAGCGTGTCTCGCTGTGCCTGCTCCTATCCCACTCGTTGAGATGGCAAGAAGTATAAAACCTGTTATAAATAGGGAGTCATGCAAAACAAATGTCCACATTAGCCACGTTCTGGGGGGAAAATACAAGAAAGAGAAAGAAAAAAATCCATATTTCAGTCTGCCCTCTGAGCCCATTGTCCTCTGGCTGGGTGTGGATAGCATTTTCCATCACAAATCCTTTGGGGTTGTGGGGGATCATTGGGTTGATCAGAGTAGCTAAGTCAGTCACAGTTCATCATTGTACAGGATTACTGTTACCGTGTAAATTGTTCTCCTGGTTCTGCTCTCTTCACTCTGCTGCATCCGTTCATGTAAATCTTCCCTGGTTTCTCTGAAACTATCCTGCTCTTCATATCTTATAGCACAACAGTGTTCCATCACAAGCATATACCGATGTTCGGCCATTCTCCAACTGAGGGGCATCCCCTCCACTTCTAATTCTTTGCCACCAAAAAGAGCTGCTACAAATATTTTGCATGTATGGATCCTTTTCCTTTTTTGTTGATCTCTTTGGGGTGTAGACCTAGGAGCAGTATTGCTGAGAAAAGAGTGTGACCAATTTGGGGGCATAATTCCAAATTTGTAAAGTGTTTCTAGCAGATCCACAGCCTGAGTTATTACAGTTCAGAAGCCCCACAGGGTCCTGAGGAGAGCCCTGTGTTTTGGGCAGCGTTTGATCACTTTCCATCTGGACCTCATCAAATCTGACAAGCACTTACTGATAACCTTTGATTGTCAGTCTCTATGCTAAGTCCTAGAGACCCAAAGATAAAGACCAGGCCGTCCCTGCCTAGTGGGTATCATTCTGCAAACTCCTATGACTATAAACGAGCTAAATACACAGTACCTGAGGATGTTTCCTAACCGGGAGCTGTAGACGCTGAGGTTTGGAAGGGACGTTAGAGGGCACCTGGTCCAGTGCTCTCATTTTCAGAGGAAGAAATAGAAGCCCAGAGAGGGAAGGGAATCTGTGGGAGTCTGTACAACAGATTAGTGATAACCTTAGGAAGAAAGAGTAAGCAGAGAGTGTAGCCTTCCCACTCTTAATGATCAACATTTATTTGTGGGGTAGCTAAGTGGCGCAGTGGATAGAGCACTTGCCCTGAGGTCAGGAGGACCAGAGTTCAAATCTGTCCTCAGACCAAACACTTGACACTTACTAACAGTGTGACCCTGGGCAAGTCACTTA